TAATGAGCTATATGTGGCTTTTTCTATTTTCTCATTAAAATAGTCATTTTCTTGACAAAAAATTTTCTAATTTCTAATTATGTTTCCCAATCTCTCATCATTTTCTTGAATTAATGAAAGTAATTTATTGGAAATAATGAAATCAAAAAATTGTTAAAGCTTGCAAATTGGCTGGATATATTCGTTTTTTTAGGGTTCCATACTTCCTAATTAACATTTTAGATAGGAACCAAATGTGAAATGGATATTATCATTTTTTTCATTCAGTAAGAAGTCTTTAAGCACTATAAGATTTTCCCATTCTTTGAAAGTGTCTTCTAGTATTAATTTATCAATTTAAGTTAATTATTTATTTGAAAATTAATTAAGTAAAATTACAGCTTAGTCATCGCTATGATTCATTTAAATTAGAAACCCTTTTTTCAGATATTACTTCCATATCTACATGGATTGTGCTTCAAGATTGAAAGAGTTAGTAATCTGTTTTAATTTTTTTTTTGTTATAAGAGGATTATATATTTAGATTTTTCCAATCATTTATATCCACAAAAAATGATTCTCCCAATTCCTTGAATTTTTCACAATTTTTTCATGTGTTTCCTCAATTTGTAAGAGTATTTCTTCCAAATTTTTTTCGCCATCATTTTTAAAATTATTTATGATCTCCCATTAAAACATATCTAGAGAAAAATAGGTTTCATAGTATTTTCTATTTTTTTAATTCGCATAATTATTGTAAAGAATACAGGCTCCCTTAAACAATAATATCAATAATTCAGCATTAGGTTTCATATCAATTATGGATTAAAAGATTCCATTTAGAAAACCTTTTAAAATATCATCCCTTTCTTTACCATCATTGGGGACCATCTGAAATGAAGTTTTTGTTAAGAAAAGGTAAAGTTCCAATTAATTTTGAATTAAATCATTCTTCTCTATTTCCATTTATTACCTTAATTCATCGCAAATATCCAAAAATTGATTTTTTGTATCGCAGTTCAATTATCTCTTTTTATTTGTTATATGGAAACAAAATATGACCTTAGATAGAGATGCTGTAGTCTTTAAAATGAATAAGCATTTAAATGAATCGGTTCTGACATAGATCAAACAACTTTCCAATAATTTTCGGATTCCAGTAATAATTAAGTTATATGATTTCACAACCTTTTCAGCATTCTTGATGAGTTTGTAAATGTTTTCCTCTTAAAAAATAAACCATTATATGGCTAACATTATTTCTTAAGCTTCTGATTAATTAGCAGCAACAGCTGCTTTAGTATAAATCGTTTAGACAAAAAAATCAAATCTAGTGATGAAATTTTCTATGTCTTCAATATCAGACTTTAAGGCTAACTCTGTGGTGGGAATTGTTTTAGAAGATCCACAACCACCTCCCCGTAATGGGGATGTTTCTTAATTCAATAGGCCTGAAATTTTAATAAAAATTTAAATAATAAATCAATACCGGTATAAATATGTTTATAAACTTTCCCATCTTATAACCAACAAAAAATTACAAAATTAAAGCAAATCTGGAGTTCAATCCTGAATGAGTGATTATTTTGTTTTATTATTTATTTAATTTAATGTTTTATATTATTAACAATATTATTATAATTATTTGTCAATTGATGTTAAAATTATTAGATATATTTAAAGACTGAAAAGATATATTTATCATCAAAAAGATATTCTTGAAAGGATTAAGACTTAAGGAAATAATAACATCTTCCCTTAAAACCATGTAATAATCTTAAATAATGATCTACTTAAGTTTCATGTGAATTCTTTTATATAACGAGAGGAGCAATTTTCAACAATACTTTTCAATTTATTTATAATAAAAATTTATAAATCACTGTAATTTTGTATAATCATTATTACCTTCAAGAGTATTTTCAAAAAATTAGTCAATATCTCGAGAAAAATAATATCCCTTAAGACAAATTCTTACATTAAACGAAGAAATTAAATAATTCTCAAAATTTTTACTATACCAGCTTAAACACTTTTTTTCTGATTCCCTAAAAATATTATCAATATTGGGCTGAAATTCAACATATTTTTTATCCATTTCTGCCTTAATAATTTATTTTAAAAGTCATCTTCAGTTATTTCTAATCATTATTATTACAACTTTAAAACTATAAGCATATTTGCTAAATTTTTATTACTTAAGACATCAAAAAAATCATCCCTATTTATTATATCGAACAACTAGATAAGTGAAGGCTAATTTATATTTTATAATGTAATAACAACCATAATTTGAGTGTTGAGAAATTAAGTTCTAATTTTTTAAGGAAAAAAAATTTCTTGTTCAAAAGAAGTTTTTGCATTTTTCCAATTTTGAAAGACCATCTCAATTTTATAATGTAAAATAATTATTTTGTTAACTAATAAAAGATATTTAATAAAAATTTTTTCATTTTGATGTTTGTAGAATTTATAATGATTTTCCTTTCAAGTTTAAAAAAATTGTAAAAAATTATTAGCTAGAATGCCTATGCTTCTAGTATTAAAAGTATTAGTGCTTCTTAAATAATAACATTCATATTTTTTGTATACTTTTGGAAATTATTAAGCAACTTCTATATAAATTATTGAAAAAATCGTTAATTCAGTTTATAAAAACTAAATTATATTACTTACTTTAGCTTCACCCAAATGTAACATGTTTTTGTTAGAAAAGATTTCATATAATCTTTCCTTGCTTGAATGATTATTATTTTTGAAGACTCTAATTATTCAAGTAGTAAGGAATCAGGTATCATAATAAAAAATAATTTCTTGCATGGCTGTTATTTGAAACGATCTTGGGAAGTTTAAGTTTAGAAAAAAATTATTCTACTTAATTTTGAAACAAATCATTTCTTTCTTCTTCTAATTATTCTTTAAATTAGTCACATATTTACAAAATTTCTAAATTCAAAAACATTTCCTTATTCATTTAAATGAAAGTTAAATATTACTTTTTGATAATATTGCTGTAATCGAGAAGAAATACAAAAATTTTAATGAATCAGTTCTAATATATATCAAACAGTTGTTCAGTAATCTTCTATTTAGTATCATTATTTCATATTATTTTTATTGGTTTGCTGCAACAGTATTCTTCGAAAATATTATTTCGATAGAGCTATTGGAACTTGAAAATCAATCGAAGTTCTATGCTTTGTAAACTAATTATTCAGCTTATATTTTAATCAAAGTACAATCTCCACCTACATTGATATCATGTCTATCTTATTAAATTAATTATTAAATGCACACATGTTTAGTTTAACTTAAATAGAAGCAAGATGCTGGAAAGTGCTCTAGATTTCACCCCCTTAATACTAATGAATATAAAATCTGGTCTAGTAAGATATTTGAGAGAAAAATTGGTCTTGAGTGTTGGCATTAAAGAATTGGTCAAGCTCTGTTGCAGAATCTTTAGCTAAGATTGACCCTAGAAAAAGGAAATTGGTAGTTATCTAAACCATAGCCTCTGAGAAAGGAGTGGAACTAAATTTGTAAGAATACAGATTAAAAGAAATGGAAGGTTCTCCTATCTACATATTAAATATGATAAATCTTTAGGAACAGTAGAATTTAATAAAGTAAATATAATTCGCCAGACACATATTGAATACTGATTTAGGAACCTAGTCAGCAGCTTATGGACTAAGGAGAACTATATCCTCTTAGTTTTATGATATTCAAGGATCTCGGGAGCAATTCGATAAGGATTAAAAAATATAAGTTTCTAAACTAAGAGAGGAGAATATGAAATTAAAAGAAATGAGTAAAATATTATACATGAATCTATCATGGTAGAGAAAAGAAATGAAGAGTGTGAAAATAAATTGATGTAGACTAAAAGGAATTTAAAAAAATAGCAGAATGATAATGAATAAAACAAACCAAAAATAATTGAACAAATGAAATTAATTAGTTGAAATTTCAATAATAAGTTAAAGAGTTATCTCATATTTAAAAGTCTTTTTTGTGTAAAAATTCTATATGATTTAAACCTACTAAGAGTTAAAACCTCAGAGTATAAATCTCTGAGTAAGATGGTAATGGATTAATTAATTAAAAAAATTCCTTATTCGGAAGCTAAAAAATTGATGTATTCTAATTTTATACTGAAATGTAAGAAGAAATTTTAATAAAGAAAAATTTTACTAGGTGCTTTGTAGGCTCAGTTGTTGGATAGAGAACCTGAAAGAAAGAAGAAATTTTTTAGTTGATTTGAGTAAATCATTAGCACTTTAAAATTTGTTTTAACTAAAGGATCTTTAGAATTACATTGTTGTTATCTGAACCTCACTGCTCCAAATTAGAGTAAACTTTTCTATTTATCCCAATTTGATTGATCAAATGATCAAAAATCTTCCCATTATGGGTCGTTTTTAAGATTCACTTATTTAGGTAGAATATTTTGTTGGGGATGGTCTTTCGATTCATGCGATAGTAAAATCCCACATATTCATATTTGCATTAGTAAGTATTCACTAGATCTTTTGCAAATGAAATTTATTTATATTTTCTAATTATGTTGATTTAATGGAATAAAAAGTACGATATAAATTTATGCATGTTTTTTATATTTATTAATTTAAATGAAAATTTTAGAATTGGATTTATGTGAAAATGGTTAAATTGAAAATTTAACTATTATAATTGGCAAGGACTATTTATGTATTAACAAGATCTTTTATTACTTATAATTCAAACTACTCATTTGGATTAATGCGTTATTTTAAGATTATTCTGAACTTAATTGATAGTTGTGAAAAAAATAAGTTATTAATTATTTGATCCCTTATCTTCTTACTCTCCCAACCCCTTATTATAAATTTTATTATTAATAGATAAAAATGGCATTTTTTAATAAAAACCACAATTTTTTCTAATCGATTGTTGGCTTTTAGCTCTGTACCTTATCCAGATAGATTTTTTTGTTGATATAATGATAACTTTGTCCTAACTCTTTTGGAAATATTCTCACTATGGCCACAAGTATAATAACTTCAATAACAAAAAGCATAAATACCAGAGATAAAACCAATGAAACCTGGAAAAGATAATTGCTGTAGCTTTGAAAAAACTTTAAATGAAAAGGATAAAGAAAGAAGAGGAAGAAAAGATTAAGAAAAGAAGAGGAAGAAATATTAATATAAATAGGAATTCAGGCAATTAGCACAGGTTGTACATCAAAAATTGTGAAAAACAATAAAAAAAAACCTGGTTAACAAAATAATTAAGTATAGGCAACTATATAAACGCCGATAGAAGTTGAGACAAACCTGCGGATAAATTAAGGTCTTCTATTTTTTTATTTTAGGACATGTTGTTTCAGGTAAGACAACTCTTTTGGATAAAATTAGAATTGCTAAATTTCAAGTGGGCGAAGCAGATGGGATGACATAATATATTGGTACTAAATTCTTTCGAGCAAAAAAAAATGAAAGAGGAGCTAACAACATAATAGTCTTATTAAGTTGATTTCAATAATTCTTTATTCTTAATTAGTGATACATCTGGCATGAATCATTTTTCAACTTAATAATTTTAGGGTTTTCATTATGTGATTTAGCCATTTTTTGTCATTGATTTAATGCATGGATTAGAAAATTAAAATGGCTTTAGAATTACGACAGATTAGAAAAACTACATTTGTTATTGCAATAAACATAATTGATAGATGTATTGAATGGAAATATTAGAAAAATGGCTCCTCATATTATTAATTATAAAATTTATCAATGTTGGTTTTTATTGTGGGAAGGAAGATCCTAATACTTAGATTCAGTTGTAACTACATCTGGATTCATCGGAGAAGGTATTCCTTATTTGTTGCCAGTTATTGTAAAATATACATCAGCGTATATGAAGAATAAATTAAAGTTAAGGAATTTCAAGGAACCTTTTATTTTAGGAGTTGAATGAAGAATATTGAAAACTAGAATTCCTTTATGCATTTATGATTAAAATAGTAATTAAAATAAGATCGATATTGCTGAGATTATTGATTTAATCATATGAATTTGAAAGAAACCAGAATTACAACAGGAGCAACAGCGTTGAGGATAGGAAAAAATTAAGTCATATGAGCAGGAAAAGAAATAACTTTAGAAATAAAATTAGAAAGTTTTTTAATTATTGTAATCATTTTCTCAGATTACAAGAGGAGCCATTAATATATTAAAAGAGCATTACAAAGAAGAATTAAGATTGGATGAGACTTAAAGTTTTTTCAAATTTTATTTTATTATTAAGTTATAATTGGTTTTTTGAAGTTTAAATTATATTTTAGATTGAATTAGAAGCACTGAAGTTATAATAAAAATATTAATAATTTTAAAGAAGCTATTATAGATCTATTATAATATTTAGATTTTGTGTAAAACACATTTATAAATCTTTAAACAATAAATTAAGTTCATTTTGATAATTATTTCGCTGATCTCATTTATTCAAAATACATATTTAATACATTACGATTTGTTTCGAAAAATTCATTATCATATTCTGTTTTTTTTTAAATTGTTTCTACAAATGGAACTCCACTCATAATTCTATCAAAAAAAACAATCCAAATATTAATTAAACTTCAATAATACATTAGATTACTTAATATTATTACGATATAATCTAAGTCTTTCTAATCTAAACATAATTGCAAAACATTCATGATATCCTACATTTTCGACATAGCTATTTCTATTAATCTTCAATTTTATCTTTGAATTTAGAGTTCCCCTCCACTTGAATTTGTAGAGTTAACGATAATGCTTTTCTTTCTAATTTTAAATCGTTAATTTTAAATAAAATATCATTAAAATATCATCTAAAGTTCTATAGAATGAATATTATCTATAATTTACCAATATACTGATTTACATAATATCATTAAGTCACAAGGGGGAATAGTAAATTTAAATTTAAATCTTAGTAATTAAATTGGTTTAAATCTCTGGACTATCCAAATAGCAAGATACTTTCAATATTCAACTTAAAAAGTTTATCTTATTTATTGTATTCCAAAATCATTCCATATTTCAAAAGCATTTATCTATTTGACAATACTTAAGATCCCTTTTCAACAAGATCTCTGGTTCCCATATGAAAATTTTCAAATTTATCTTTTTCCCAATCAGATTTCTAAAATTTGCATCTACATCAAAAGGTTGAGATAATATTTATTCAACAGTTTCAAATCCTCTTGTTAGTCTTCTAGCAATGTAGAGCAAAAATATTGATTTTTGTTATATTGGCTTTTTCATAATATTATTTAAAAATCCATATTAAAAATCCTTATTAACAGTTCAAGTTAATAGATTTTCTTGATATCTTCCCTAACTTTAGCATGAGATGTATCTTCCTAAAAAAATCTTGGATTTTTGCATACAAAAAAGATTGAATATCTCCAAAAATTTATACTAAGCTCTTTCCTTAATTTATTCAAAAATAATTATTGATTTTAAACCCTTTATTAGATTTCTTCTTGTTCTTCATAAGGTAATGGTTCTTTAATTTTCATCAAAATTTCTAAAAGAAGAATTCTTCTATGAATAGAAATCAAATTCCTTAAATTCATAATAATCACCCATAAAAAATTCAGAATCACATATATCATCCTCTTAATCGTTGATGTTTACTCTTTGTCATAGATCTTGAATCAATAAAGTATTTTATAGATAATCCTTTATAAAAAGTCTTAAATAATTGGATATTCAATCTCTGGCCTTGATTAAAGTCTGCATAAGGATTTTCAATGTTATGTGGAAGAGATAAATTAAAAGAGATTTTGAATAAATATTTAACTACATATCCATAGTAATCTATAATACATCAAATTTCATACTTTATTAATTGAACAACCAACAACAAAATTTTATAAGTTGAAGTAACATTGATATATTTTATATCCATATTTAATAACCATTTTAAATTTAAATGCCTATTTTAAACATGCAAATAATTTCAGAATGTATTTACATCAAGTTCATATATTAATCTATATTAGATCAATTAATTCATCGATACGATCATTAATAAATAATTATTTTTAATAAGTAGTATTATCATTTCTTGAAATTCCTAAGTAAATCCTCATAATTATAAATGAATAGTTATATATTTTTAATGATTGAAAAATATTGATAAATAATTTTTCTTTTATTTTTTTGGAATAAAAAAATTAAATACTGAGTAATTAATTAAGTAGGAAACTAAAACAGTTAAATTCATTTTTTATCATTGAGATTTATATTATAATACAAGGTTGAAACCCTAGATACTCCTTAAATCAAATCAATATTTTATAAAGAATTATATATGAAATTAATATAAATTATAANTCAACAAGATCTCTGGTTCCCATATGAAAATTTTCAAATTTATCTTTTTCCCAATCAGATTTCTAAAATTTGCATCTACATCAAAAGGTTGAGATAATATTTATTCAACAGTTTCAAATCCTCTTGTTAGTCTTCTAGCAATGTAGAGCAAAAATATTGATTTTTGTTATATTGGCTTTTTCATAATATTATTTAAAAATCCATATTAAAAATCCTTATTAACAGTTCAAGTTAATAGATTTTCTTGATATCTTCCCTAACTTTAGCATGAGATGTATCTTCCTAAAAAAATCTTGGATTTTTGCATACAAAAAAGATTGAATATCTCCAAAAATTTATACTAAGCTCTTTCCTTAATTTATTCAAAAATAATTATTGATTTTAAACCCTTTATTAGATTTCTTCTTGTTCTTCATAAGGTAATGGTTCTTTAATTTTCATCAAAATTTCTAAAAGAAGAATTCTTCTATGAATAGAAATCAAATTCCTTAAATTCATAATAATCACCCATAAAAAATTCAGAATCACATATATCATCCTCTTAATCGTTGATGTTTACTCTTTGTCATAGATCTTGAATCAATAAAGTATTTTATAGATAATCCTTTATAAAAAGTCTTAAATAATTGGATATTCAATCTCTGGCCTTGATTAAAGTCTGCATAAGGATTTTCAATGTTATGTGGAAGAGATAAATTAAAAGAGATTTTGAATAAATATTTAACTACATATCCATAGTAATCTATAATACATCAAATTTCATACTTTATTAATTGAACAACCAACAACAAAATTTTATAAGTTGAAGTAACATTGATATATTTTATATCCATATTTAATAACCATTTTAAATTTAAATGCCTATTTTAAACATGCAAATAATTTCAGAATGTATTTACATCAAGTTCATATATTAATCTATATTAGATCAATTAATTCATCGATACGATCATTAATAAATAATTATTTTTAATAAGTAGTATTATCATTTCTTGAAATTCCTAAGTAAATCCTCATAATTATAAATGAATAGTTATATATTTTTAATGATTGAAAAATATTGATAAATAATTTTTCTTTTATTTTTTTGGAATAAAAAAATTAAATACTGAGTAATTAATTAAGTAGGAAACTAAAACAGTTAAATTCATTTTTTATCATTGAGATTTATATTATAATACAAGGTTGAAACCCTAGATACTCCTTAAATCAAATCAATATTTTATAAAGAATTATATATGAAATTAATATAAATTATAATATATACATTTTTTTAACTTATTTATCAGCAACATTAGAAAAGTCTAGGATTAATTCAAAGTTGTAAGTTTAAATTTTATAACCTGAGATAATACTTTCATGGTATTTATATAACTATAATATTAAAATTAATCATACAATATTATGCATTACTATATAATAAATACTTTAAATTATTATTTACTAACAAATTTGAAGTTATAGTGAGAATTCCATTTCTTTATAATATAATTAATGAAATAAGTTAAATATTCTATTTAGTAAAGGTAGACTCAAAAATATTTTTTTAATCTCTAAATCAATCCATTCATTAAAATTTATAATTAACAATCATTAATACTTATTTCATATTTATTTTTTCCACTTAATATTTAAGTTATTTTATTCAGCTTAATCTTATAAATTTATTGTTTGAATTTCAATAATTTATAATAAGAGTCTAATCCAATATTTTTCACAATAATTAGGAGATTCCTAAAATTTTCTAAATTTGATATCAAATATTAATATTCTATAAAAAGTACAATCATGATTGTCAAATTAGAATTTGGTTGTAATTGAATACTAATGATATATCCAATAAATGAATTCAATTAATTTTTTAATAGTAAGATCATTATTTATTATTTTAAGTTTAAAAACTTATAGATTTAGATTAAATTTAATAAAATATTTAAAAAAGAAAAGATAAGTATAAACTTAGATATTAATTTTTGGTTTAATAGTTTGTTTATGTATTTTTTAATAGAAGAATTAAGATGTAACTTCATATATCAGTATTTATATTGAGATAATTATGTATAATTTAGTTGCTAAAAATTTTAAAGTATAAATGTTTAAATTAAATTAATGTTCTTCCTTTAAAAAAACTGGTTTTTATTCTTTAAAAGAATTCTTAAGATTTATTTTAGTTAAGACTTAAGAGAAAAACGATAAGCAGTAATTATACCTATAATTAATCAATAATTTAGAAAAAAATTATTCATAATTTTCAAATAATCTTCAGATATTTGGGCTTAAGCATTTTTTTAACAAACTATACCTAGGTCTTAAAGAACTTGCTTATTCATCATAAATTCTACTTGATATACATTTTTCTGTTTATGGACTATAAGAACTATTTTGATTGATTTTATAGTCTAAAGAATCCTAAATAGTTGGCAATTTTAGATTTCTTTAAAAATTAGTGATTAATTAATGGTCTTTTTACGAATTTCTAGGAGCAAATCTAGAAGTACGTCTAAAATCATTATTAATTTAATGAGGAACACCCTAAATTTTGGATGTACGTCTAGTATTTGTAAGGTTGAATACATCCAAATTTAAAATATCTGAACATTTTATAGAATCCATTTAAATTCTGCCTTTTTAAGTGAAGAATATTTAAAAAAACTATAACAAAGAAGGTTTTAATTCTAAAAATTCTAAATCACCCATATTTTCATAATTTTTCATTAATAATTCATCTAACATTTGAGTTTCTTAATATTATTTCTTTGAGAAGATACTGTAAATTACGATGCCTAAAGCTAAAATATCCTTTTTTCTAAAATATTGAGTGACTGTAGTTTAATCAGAGCAATTCAGATTTTTAGAGCTGAAAAGTTTTTATGATATGATTTCTGATTTTCCAAAGTTGATTATACAGGCAGAAGTTAAATCTTATTAATCTTTTAGAAGAATATTATCAAATTTAATGTCTTAATGAAATATATTCCTTTCATGTAGATAATTTAGAGATTAAAATAAGGTTTCCATCAATATTATAGTTTCTTGTTCAGAAAATCGAAACTTAAATAATGAATTTTTCAAATTTCCTCCCTCCAACAATTCTGAAACGATATAAATGTTATCATCACATTCAAATATTTCATGTAGTTTAAGTAAATTATTATGATTGATTTATCGAAGAACTGCTATCTCATTAATTAGATATTATCTTTCACTAGCATTGTTTCTTTACACTAAGCTCTTATCTATAATTTTTACAGCTACTTTTTATCCATTTATGATTTTAAAAGCCTTAAAAACCTAAAATCATTTTAATATATACTGATGAACTATATCCTTCCCCTAACTTTTAGCCTAATTTGTATTTTAACTAGAAGTCAGTTTGGATTACAAATTTTTTTATTATTTTCCACAATTCCATTATTTCCCCAAAAAACTCTATAAACTATCCATTTTTACTTAATCTTAACCCTAATTACTATGTTTTTTAGTGTAGGGTCTTTTTAACACAGATATTCTCTAGGTTGATATGTCTTTCACCTTTCTTTTATATATAAAATCAATACTTCCTCGACTATTTTCATTATGAATTCATGTAAAAATATAGTCACAGGCTGTTGACGATTATTATATTTCATAATAAAAGCTCCAAATTGTGTAAACTCCATTGAAAGATGTGGAGAATTACAAAAAATCTGCTTTCCATCATTAAAGAAAGATGATTTAGAATAATCAGATTGTAAAGTTGTAGTTTTTTTCATTAAGAATTAAAGAATGATAATATTTTCTTTGAATAATAAACATTTCAAATGGTATTCTTTCAACAGATTGAAATGATATTTCATGATATTTTTTTCTCAATATTCAGATATATTGAAAATTTCAGAATATTTATTCATATCTGAATTTTCTTATTTAAAAAAATTGTGTACCAACATTACCTTGAAACAGAATTATGTTAATAAATTTAGATAGCTTTAATAAAAGGGATTTTTGATTTGTCCTACTAAGAATATCTTATATCCTTTGAGTTAAAAATTTTGTGTGAAATTTATAAAATACGTCTTTATTTGATTATATAATCAATCGAAATTCTTCAATAATACTGAATAAAAATTGTATAAAAAATAGTAATAATAATTTTTCTAAAAGAAAAAAAAATGAAATCATTTGTGGTTTCTCTTTAATAATTGGCCTAATTACTTTTGATCAAGGATGCTAAATTTTATTTTAGAATCAGTATTTTAAAATTTTACATTTTTAGTATGTTTAGATGTTTATTAATCCTTTTTTTTAAGAATACTTCTATTAGCATTGATTGAATTTTCATATGATGAGTTAACATTATTAGAATCTAAATCAAGAGAGGAATCTAGAATCTAATTGATATTATTTAAATATTTTTCATTTTACTAAATAGAGTTCATAGGTAATTCTTAATTTGTTTAATTTGGAGTAGAATCAGTTTGAAATTCTTTTCTTTATTATTACTCTTCGTTAGTGTATACTTAAAAATGAGTTATGAATTTTGTGTTTATTTAGTATTAAGGAGCATATTTAGGACCAAAATACTCAGCATAGATTTGTTCGGAATAATTTTCTGATAGACTTTCAGCTTACTTTTTACAACAATTTGCACTCTATCCCATTAAAAATATTTAATTAGATATTTCAAGGAATTAATAAATAAATAATTTTGTTTTACAGGCATTTTACCTTTTCATGTAATACATTTAGAAAATTTCCTAATGTTAATAATACCATAGGTATTTATGATAACTTTGATTTTACTTGAAGTAGAAGAACTATTTATAAATTAAATTATAAGAAATCTTTTATAAGAGTTGATATTATCACTTTTTTATGACTGTTACCTGTAATTAAAAAAATTTTATGATTCACCACCAAAATTTAAATTGTGATTTAGAACATCACCAAATTTACAACAGCATTAATTAATACACGTTCTAAACTAATCTGAATTAATTCATATTAAAAAATAAAAAAAAAAGATTCGTTACTTAGATGAAGGAAAAATTGAAAAATTGAAAAATTGAAAAATGGAGAAATTATGTTTTAATTATAATTTCTTTTTATATAAATTAAAAAGAGAGTAATAATTTATTTAATTTTTAAATATGTTATTTAGAAGGAATCATTAAAGTAGTTTAGATGATCTAGAACCTAAATTGTAAATTAATAGCATAATATGTAGTATTTATTCAATAGTATTATTAGATAAGGGACATCATGAGATTACATATTAATAATGGTTCAAACAAAATATTAGAATAAATAATTAAATATCTTGAAAGAGCTATGTTTATGAAATATACTTAAATAACAATTGATGAATTAAGAATTAATTGGATTATACTAATCATACTCTTGCAGAAATTTAATATTACAGTAAAGATAGATTAATAGAGCAAATTGATTAAATTAACAACCTTGATTAAATATATCAGGATAGTAGTAAATATCAAAATATAGAAAATTCATTATTAAGTTGAGAGTATGATATATTTATATGATTAATATTGGGATTTTTAAATGAGGTTTAGATATAGTATAGGATTATTGTAAAAGAAATGATATCTCAAAAAGCAGAATTTAATTTAATAAGAATTAGCCCAAAATTAGTAAATCAGAGTTAATGTAGAATGATGAAATATATAAATAAAAAGATTTATTAAAGTATAAGAATAAAATTGATTAAATTCTTCATATTTAATTTGGATATTAGTGTCATTAATAATCCTGATTATGATTGTAAATATCAAACTTCTTCTATTAATTAATCAACATAATTATTTTTAGAATTTTTGATTTGCCAAAGATCTTCAAATACATTATTTTCGAATAATATTTATTGTATGTAATCATAACATATGTAGAATGCTTCTACTGGATATCTCCTTTAAAAAAAACTATATTAATAAACTCTATACACTTTCCGATAGTGTTTGTTAATAAAGAAAGATTTTGATTCCAAAAAAAATTAGCTTAGACAAAGAATAATTAGACGAAGACCTTATTAGGGAAAAATAGAACTACAAATCCTTATAAAATGAAACAAATAAACTAAAAGCAAGATTATAATTCTATGAAAAGGATTTAGTTATATAAGGTGAGGTGGATTATAAAAGGGAATTAAAATAAACACTAATAAGATTGAAAAATAAAGAAGAAGAAGTGTTTGAGTTGATGCAAAATACTAACTATTAAACAATAATTGAGATGAAGAGAACAATATCATCATTAAAATAAGAATTGAAGAAGTATCATGCTTATTAGAATTTTTCAGGAAGTACAGAGTCAATAATTAATGAAAATATAGAATTATTCCAAAAATTACAATAATCCATTTAATCAATCAAGGAATTAGAAAAAATAAAAGTAGAGTATTTCTCAATAGCTAGAAAATATTAACAGTTGTAACTTGTTTTATAAGCAAAAGATTAGAAATTATCGAAATTAAGAGAAAGAGACCATATAAGTGATATGAATATAAAGCATGCTAATAAAAATGAATCTTAATTAAGAGAAGAATTATTAATTAAGGATGAAGAAATATCCCATCTTAAAACTCAATTGGCTATTGCTCTAAAAACCAATATAGAAGATAAAGCCATCATCGATTAAACGTAATAAGAACTTAAATAAAAAATTAATCATCATGAGTATGAAAGGTAGATTTATAAAGAGAGGATTGATAATTTGCAAAAAGAAAGTTAATAGTTAGCTGAAAAAGCAAGAAATTTTTTGATAGATATTTGACTGTAAATCAAAAGAGAAAAATGACATGGGTTGAAGACCAGCAATCAAATTCTTAATATACTTAAAGTTAAGAGGGAGATTAGTCGGTGAAAAGCGTAAAGAAAACCCAAGTCGAAGATATTGTTTTTGAACTAAAATTAAGTTTAAGAAAAAACAATATTTCCTTGTCAGAAGCAAAATTAGTATGATCTCATTTAAAATTTAGATTTTATTTAAAGGTAATGAAATAATAATTTAAGAATTGGATTAATTATTAGGAAAAGAGCCATTTAAAGTCTTAAATAGCAATATGTTAGCCAGATATATGATAGAGGATATTTAAGATAAGTATCGTCTCATTTCCATTATTAGAGAGTTTGAGTATAATCCAGAGTAAAAATCTCCAGTACCCCATGTTCGAAGTGTTTTTAGAACATTGCTGTAACATTACTAATTAAACTTTGATGATTACATTCTATAAACAGTCGCTAAGGCTTGCTTATAAGTATTTGAATTCTGTTCAAGAAAAAATATTCATAAGCTAAATTAATAAGAACTTTTGGAAAGAGTCTCGTAATTAGATTTATAATGGAACTCAAAATGCTTTGATTGTTTTCAACAATTATATTATAATAAATATAAAGGTTTCCTATAATTTGATGTTCAGAATGTAAAAAAATTGTTTGAATAATTTTAAATATAATGAATCATTAAATTCTCTAATATATATTGTAAATTTAATTTAAACATAAATTTAACACTAAAGTTATTAATATTAATAAATAGGAAAACTTTAATTTATTTAAAATTTTGACTTTCAAGCTATTTTTGATTTGATGGCTTAGAATAATATAAAATTAAGATATATAATTCAAACTTATACTTTAATTTTGGTTGGGTCAATCATATAGTGAAATATATTGAAATCTTTTTGATTTTTTTTTTAAATATATTTGCTACATATTCCTTCATTGCTGCCATCAATATTTAACATTAAATTGAAGGACAATCCAAAGGTTATTCTATAAATTAACATCATGATAATTTATGAAATTTAAATATTTTTCATTATTTTTAAAGCTAAAAATTACCAAAAAATAGGAATTATTTTAGTTATAGGAATTGATTATCTGAAAACAATTATATATTCTTTTACATTTATGAAATTTTTAAAAGAGTTTCTATCAAGTATCATAATTTATAAATATAAAAAATAAATTTTGTAAAAAATTTAAATTGACTTATCAATTTTTAAAAATGGACTTTTTCATTTAATATCTACTTTTCTTTATTTCATCATTTAAAGGACTCACTTGATTTTAAGAAATTCCATTTGACTTTGATGTAAATGAGGATTATTTTCTAAATTAACTCACTTCTGGACTAAAACTATTGCATTATGAACGAATACGAAAATCTGAATTTTACCTTTATAATTTAGTTATTTGAGGAGATTGTGGACTTAAAGGACTTGCATCCTGAGAAAGTGCTTATTAATTATAGGATTTCATCTATCCTCTCTATGAATTGTTTTTTTCTGTTAATTACTTTAACTTTTAACTTGCTTTAAATTCCATAACTTCTGACAATCTCTCTTTTTTAAACCACTGATGGTTTAAAGCTAATTAAGAACTTATTCTTTCATTAGGATTTTCATTTAAAATGCTTCTTATAAAATTAACACCTTCATCACTTAAATACAATTTAGAATAATCAATATGACATTCTAAATTGGACTCTATTACACTTTATAAATTAGGTCCTTAAAAAGGAATTTTTCCGCATAAGGAGTAATACATAACGATTCCTGCACTAAAAACATCTGCTTTTTGATCATAATATTCATTTCTTAATATTTCAGGGGCTGTATAACCAGGTGTGCCAAATCTTTGCATTAAATATTCAGGAGTTTATTGTTCATTATCTGAATCTGCTGAACCAATATTCTATTATACTATTTCAGCCAATCCATAAGAACTTAAACAGGGATTCTCTAAACTTCCATTTAATCCAAGCCAAATATTTTCTGGTTTTATATCTCTATGCATTATATTTTTTGAATGAAGATAAGCCAACCCTTTGAAAATCTTAAACATTAATTTTTGAGCCTTCTCTTCAGAAAGTGTAGGAAATTTTTAAATATAATTACTCAATGTTCCTCCTAGAGTCAATTCAGTAATTACAATGATCTATTCGGGGCTCTCAAATACCTCATAAAACTGTTGCAAATATTCATAGTTTATTCTTCTTTAAATATAAATTTATTTTTCCAATTATGCTTCAATTTATGAGTTGAGTTAATTTTTCTAGTAAATAGAACACTAATAATCGCGAGATCCATTTCTTCTTTAAATTCTATATGTCTAAAGTAGTCAAATATAGTACTTCTTATGAAATTTATTTTATCACTTCAAATTGTTTTAAGAAATCTAATTGAATTGTAAATCTCCTTATAATAGGGAATAAAGAGGCAATTTCCCCGAAAATAATTATTTCATCAAAACATTTTGTTAATTTTATCCCTTCTCCATATTCTTCGTTTTGTAGGCTCTCAAGTATTGAATTTTCGTAATCTAGCCAGCAATTATCACCCTGAATAAATTTACTTTAATACATTTCTTTTAGTTGTTTTCATTATATTTTACCAAATCATCAATTATTTCTTCTTTGGTAAATTATGCTTACCTATTAACATAACTTCAATTTGTAAATCAAATTCTCCTTAAACTTTTGGGATTTTCCTTCTGCTCCATTCCATTCTGACAAATTTTCTTTAAAAAAAACTTTTTCTGTGAGAAGCCTCATATTCTATTTTGTTTTAAATCTAATCAATATTTTTTTTTGGATATCTTTTCATATAAATTATATTTAATTTTAAATAATTTTTGTTTGATATCGACCATTAATAATGAAAATAATTATGATTTATTCAATTTTATTTAATTAATAATAAAGAAAGGCCATCATTTTTATAGTTAACCCGTTCATAAGAAATGTTTTTAAAATAGATTTCAATATTTTAGAAACTTAGAATTTTGATTTACTTTTTTACTTTTGAATTTCATTTGATTAAAATAATTTCGTGATTATTTTTCCTTCAGATCAATTAATGTTCATTTTTAAATAAAAGAAAAAAATTTTGTTTATGTAGATGATAAATTAAAAATTTATTTAACATATATATTTAATCTATAGGTTGTTTATCAGAAAAAATAAAATGATTAATTTCTATAAACTAAATAAGATCAATATAATAAATTAATCCGAATTATTGGTTAAGGCCATATTATAATTTTAGATATCAATTTTTGTATACCTTCTAATAATAGCAACTTATTTAATAGAAATTATTGGTTTTTTGCCTAAAATCATCTTTTCCAGTTTAAAAAATTCTGGATTATGATCTAGCTTCAAGACCTTTGGTTCAAAAATAAAAAGTCGCTTCAAAAATTCAACCTTAACATGTTATTTAAGATATTAAACGATAATCTTTTTAATAGAAACGATTGAAAATAATATGAATAATGGTTTATTAATAATAATTTTTATTTTCTGTATATAGATGTTTTTTTATTTCTAAAATTTATATTCTTTAGATAAACTACTTTTACTGTTTTTGAGTTATGAAAGCCTTTTATAAATTTAATAATCTTATTTTCAAATAATAAAAAGGTGAAGAACTTTGAATTCTCAAATGATTATATTTACTATTGGTTTAATATAAATAGAAATATATCAGTATCAGATAATTTTATGGGATATTCTTAAATGCGAATTCAGAAATTAAATAAAAATATCAAATGCTTGAAGCTTGTGGATAAGGAACTTAAGAATAACTGAAGGAGAATTATTTGTTTAAAGGCAAAATTGAAATAACTTTGAGTGGATTTGATATATAAATTGATAGACTACTTATTTCTTCAAATGAATAGTTTTTGGCTCTAATTCTCTCAAGAGGATACAATAATGTTGAAGAAATGCATATGCTTTTTATAATATATGATTTAAATACTACAAAATAAATATCGCTAGGATCATGGACAAGTCCTGGTGCATTAAATAACAGAATTTAACATGAGTTTGATGGCCATTCAAAATTTTTTATATAAATATAACAAGACATGGTTAGTATAGTTAATCTCTAACAGAAAACTTTGAAAAATTTCTTAGTTGTTGGTGTTTAGAAATTTTTAGATATTGATGATGATAATTAAATATATTTATAGTTATTTTAAGATGGATGTTTATGTGTAATTAAATATTCAATCAATCAAGAATAGATAATGTCTTACTTTGCATTTGGAAATAATATTAACAGCTTGAAAATTATGCAAAATTTTATTTTTATATAGGAAATGATTTTGGACAGTTTTTATCTTTGTTTATATCAAAAGAAAAATAAAAAACCTTTTTTCCCAAAAAAAAAAATAAAGCTTAAGAGCCTAAATATACAGGATTTTTTTATTTTACAGAACTAATTTTTAGTAGAAACATACTAATAAGAAGAAGAAAGGAAGGAGGTTCGCTTAAGAGAAATCAGATCTGGAAAATTATCAGAAAGAATGAGGATATTGGCGGGTTGTTTTATCAATTGGTAGTAGATAAAAATGATGCCTTTTTATTCTTGGAAGATGAAAATTATAAGATATAAAAATTTGACTTCCTCAAAGGCAAAATGAAGGAACATCTACTTCAAAAAAAAGGATAGTGGTTTACTTTTGGTAAAAGAATTATTGTGTTCTCAAAAGGGAAATAATTGAATTTGAAGTTTATAAGATTTTTATGATTCTTTTAATAAAAATATTTTATAATATAAATCAGAATTCATACTAGAATTATATTGCTTTTATTATTTATCAAAAGAATTTATCTCGTAAAATACACATCATTTGTATTAATAATTAAACCCTTTATTTAATGAGTTCATCTCTATCAATTTGCCTATCATAGATTCTATATTTTGATTTTTAATTTCAAGAATTAAGGCTTAAACGAATTCTAAGACTCTCTAATAACATATAAATTTCCCCTTGCTCCACAAAAACACTTAAATCAATTCTCTCCATTTATCAGTAATACATCCAATAGGGATATTAATTCTAATTATGGATTTTAATAAACTAAAGTAAAATTCTTGAGATTCCTTTTCTAAAATATCAAGATACGTTTAATAGAAACGCCATAAACAGGACTTTTTCTCCTCTAATTAAATTTATAGATGGAATTGATTTATCTTCGAACAACTCTTATCTCCTGGATAGTATTATGGTCACTGTTTCCAAACGATTATCCAATATAGGGAATAAAAAACCTAAAATAATTGAGTTATCTGCAATAATAGCTCGAAAGGGATTGTATGTGGAATGATCTGAAGGGTTTTAAAGCTTTCCAGGAAACCCTTTATTTATTTAACTTTCTAAATTTAATGATGTTACACAATAGATCAATTACATTTACAAAGTCAATAATATTTGTAGGAAGGAAAATTTTAATTTATATATCATGGATTTAAAAATGTCAAAAAACTTTAATAGTATAAAAAATCATTCTCCCCAATTTTAATCAAAATTTATAAAGAAGATTATTGAAGAGGAGAAGGTTCAGAAATGGATAGACTATGAAAATATCATTTAAGATTTAAAAATGTTTTGAAAAAAAGATCATATATTATTGACTAGATGTGAAGTAATAATATAATTAAACCATAGTAAGTCAACGAGGAAGGGTTAAAAATCTAAGAGTATAACCATAATTTAAGAAATTGGAAAAAGTTTATGAGATTTATGTTAAAAATTGAATTACTAGGATATAGATTTAATAAGATGTTCTATATAACTACACTAGTAATGCTATCATTAAGTACGAAGCTGAGTTAGAGCAACTTTGAAAAAATTTTAGAACTAGGTTAAGAAAGTTATGAACAAAGCACCTTAGTAATAAGCCGTTGTGAGCTGAGATAAATTAAAGTATTTAATCTGAAGGAGTCATGAAACTATTCTAGAATATGGCTTGATATCTGCACCTAAGACAAATGATAATATCAAGACGACTAGAAAGTTCTTTTTAATGTAAAACTCTTACTAGTTAGATCATCTAGAAGAATGAAAAATAGATCCCTTAGTAGTCTATGATCATAATATATATTTTTTTCTTTACAAATAAAGAATATTAATTTGGATAGCATGTGATATATTAAGCAGTAGGTTATGGATCATATTAATTTAAAACATAAGTAAATACTTATGATGATCAACCTTCTTCTAAATTTATGCAGAATGGATGGCTTCCTTTAGTAAGGGAAGATACTTTTGTATTTCATTTTACATATTTACATAGGCTCTTCGCATTAGCCCTTTTGTAAACTTAAAACAATGATGCAGGATAATGAGATAAACCATAAATTATACATAACTTTCCGTTCTGAGAATGAACCATGAATCTTAAAATGATATAATTTAAAAGTTTTTAGATTGATAAAAAATTAATTGCTGACTTTTATTTATTCTTTCTCATCTCAGTTCTCATAGGCTGATCTTGAATAGAACAATTGTATTTCTTCAGAAAATAGCTAATATCGAACTTATTATTCCCTTTTATACTTATGCATCATTTACGTGTTATGCATTAAGAATATTATCAAAAAATTATCATATTCAATAATGGTACGTATTAATTAATCTACATATCATAATTATCTTGTATCTATTTCCACTAGTAAAAAGTCAAAACCCTTACTATTGTCTCAAAATCTCAAATTTATATGATTTTAAATTTAAAATAATACAATTAAAGAACTAGGATGTATTTTATTTAATTTCATCCATTTGCTTTAGTTATGTTAATGATATATTTTCTAGATTATAAATACTTAAACAATAAATGTTATAATTTATTACCGAACTGCATCCAATTTAAAAATTGATAAAAGATTTTTTAAAATAGATCTTTCGTGCTGTATTTTAAGAAGATTAGAATAAAAATTTACTCCTTTTTCATGTTTTCATGCGAAAGTAGAAGAAAAAAATAAAAAATTTGTTTATTTATCAAAGAATTAAAGTTTGATTGTTTGAATAGTTTATTATCTTTAGAGAACATATGGAAAATAATTCCAGAAAATCAAAATCAAAACGTTTTTAGAAAAACATTATATAATAGTTTTATATCAATAACATCAATTAAGTTGCTAAACAAAAGGCTGGAAATTTTCAAAGGGTTTTATTTTTTGTCTTCAAAATTATAAATTCCAATATAACTTTAATTGCTAATAAAACTAAATAAGTATAAATCAATATTCCATTTGGATTAAATAACAATAGAGAAGTAATATCAAAAGAAATAAATGTTATCAATTATAGAACATGAATTTCAATATTTGACGTTTAGAAAACATAATAATCTATATTGTAATAATGACAAAAAGACATTAAAGAAAAACATCTGAAAAATCAATTGTTTTAATATAAGAAATTTGAAACCATGATAAGAAGGAAAGTTAAGTTATATTTCTTATATAACTATTTAGAGTAGATGGATCTTTATAAATTTATGTTATCACATAAAATCTTAATTTGATTTAATTAATGTAGCAGAGAAATTAGCTAGTTTCAAATAACTTAGATTTACGTAATTCTTTCTTTTCACCTGAAACAAATCTGTGGGCCACCAATATAAACTTTGTTTCTTAATAAAATGCTTTGATTGTTGTTAAATATTTAGAAAAAGTTAAAGAAAAGAATTTATATATTGGAGCATAATACATAAAATACTCCAGAAATGTAAATACAATGTTTAATTTAGAAATATATCTCTTTTATAGAGGCATTTTTGACTATTTTACGAAATTCAAACGATGAAATAGTCGGATTTAGATTAGAGAAAAATGGCAATAAAATTGAGTTTTTTGGATAAATAACAGGTTGGCTTGCTATCCTTATGAAAGAATGTATTAGTTTAGACTTTGTTTCCAATTTTCAGATAGTGAAATTGCTAGGAAGTGGATCTGCAGCTAATGTATACTAAATTGTTTAAAGTTAGGTTTATAAAGTGAATTCAAAGATTGATAATCAAGACTATGCTATAAAAGTCTTTGATAAATCCTTATCTTATAAAGACTCAACCATCTAATAATCAATAAAAATGGAAATAAAGATTTTAAGATAATTAAATCATCCAAATATCATATAATATAAAGGTGTTTTTGAATCAAACGCTTAGATTATCTTAGTGTAAGAACTTTTAGAAGGGGGAGATCTAAAAAATATTCTTGGAGATGAAATAGTAAACGAAGGAACTGCTAAATAAATATTAAGATCAATTCTAAAAGGATTAAGTTATATGCATAATAAAGGTATATTTCATAGGGATATAAAAAAATGTAATTTAATGTTAAGAACACAAGATAATTATAATTCTCTTTGTATAATTGATTTCGGATTAGCTGAAAAAGCTAATGATGATAATAATTATTTATTTAAATATTGTGGAACTCCTGGTTGTGTAGCACCAGAGATTTTGAGAAAACAAAAATATGGATTAAAAGTTGATATATATAGTGTTGGAATATTGGGTTATTAAATCTTATTTGGAAAAGACCCATATTAATCAACATCAACTAAGGAAACTATTTTGAAAAACTTTCTAGGACATATTGATTATTTAAATATACCTTAGATTTCAAACAATGGATTATGTTTTATAAAATCGTTATTATAAGATGATCCAATTAATAGATTATCTGCAAAATAAGCATTAAAACACCCTTTTTTATATAATGAAGAAAATTAATTAATTACCAGAAATTATCTTGATGTTAATAGAACTAAAGCCATTTCTCCAAAATTGAAACCTTTAATCTTTAAAAATTCAAGAAATTCATCACCAAATGGAAGTCCTAAAATATAACCAAACAAAGTTTATTTCAGAGCTTAAGCAAGTCCTTTACGTAAAAATACTGAATAAAAAGAAAAAATTTCTAATTCTGAAAATTATGGAAAATTATCTTCATCATGGAATTTTAGAAATACATTTAAAAAAATGAATACAAAATGAATTTAGTGTATATTTTCTATTATGTAAAATTTATATAATATTAGTTAATTAATAATTTTTAAATATCTTTTCAAAGATTTTGCCAAATCCTATTCAATCTCTTATATTTGTTTAAAAATTATTCATAATTTATTAACAGATATATTGAAATAGTTTTGTATAAGAATAAGAATAACTATAGGATCTATCGTATAGTGGTTAGTACCTGAGGCTTTAACCCTCAAGACCTTGGTTCGAATCCAAGTAGGTCCTTTTTTTTATTTTTATACATTATAAATAATTATATATATTTATATTTTATATATTACTTTTTGATTGTGATTCATATACTTTCAAGGATATAATTTTCCAACAAGATTTTGATCAATTACTCTAGATCCTCTTGAGGATTATTCAATTACTCTATTAACTGAGGAACTAGTCACATTCTATTATACAGTAACTGATTTAACTTCAGTTACTCCACCTTTTTTAAGTGCTTCTAATTCAGCTTATGCCATAATCAATTTTTCTTATGTTTCAAAAAAATCATTGTTTAATTTCTTAAATCTAGTCCTCCAAACTTCAACTTCCTTCATAGAAAATAAGAGATTACATTAGTTAAAGTCTATGTTTCAGTACTTTCTACAGT